AACAGGGAGTGCAGTACTTAGCATTACCTGTAGCACCTTGTTCAGCATCCTGTCTTTAAGATAATGAAGATCAGTAGGTACCTCAAAAGACTACTGGAACTTGCAAAAATTACAAAAATGTGACATGATCACGTGTGACTCTTCATGAAAATCTTTATTTGAGTTTTTAAAGATTAGAGATCAAATTTAAATCCTGACTCGTGAGGTTTTTATCTTTCAGCTCTGTACTTTTTTTTGTACTAAATAACTGCACTAATTTAGGATATTCTTGGATATTCTTGTTATCCAAGTGCATGTCTAACCCCCATTTGAATCCTAATAAATTTCTTATCATGAGTAGCATGATTACTCTATTTGTGTAGTACATTAAATATCAATTTTCATAATTTTAATAGATATTTTTAATTTTTCATTTTTATACTTCTAAATTTGATATATTTAAGTTTAGCTGTTTTTATAGTCAGTGCATGTTTCTAGTTTACTTACTCTGTTAATAATTTAAATATATTTTCTAGTGTTTGAAGCATTTCTCTCCTTTCTGGGGTAAATAATAAAAATCTATCTAGTCTCTTCCTACAACAGGTTTTCATGGCCCTAAATACTTGCTTTCTCTGAACACCCAAATTCCATAGAACCCATTTTTAAGATGAATTCCCAACCTCTGCACTGTAACCCAGCTAATGTATAGGGTCCAGCTATACACATTTAGTAAAGATTATCCTGTCTCTTATTACTGTTGCAGTCCAACACTTCAGCTTTTCTTATCATAGATGCCCGTTGAGCAGAAATCTGAAGTGATCTATCTGCAGTAGTCCTTAAGGACCCTTTCCTCCAGCTAAGGAGACAGGTTTATTTGGATTTTTCTGCAGTGTGCATAGTTCAGTTTCTCTGCATTCTGCAACTGCTTGTGTTTATTCTGTCTTCTGCTGTCACAGTGTAAATTCAGCTGGTACAGTTAGTTATCTTCTGCTGAACTCTTTTTCTTCCAGTCCTGGTTTAGCTAAAATAAATTACCATGTGTCAGCTGAATGTTTCTCTATTTGGCTCTTCACCTCCAGAGTTTCAGATCATTAGTAATTATGTTATTAATTAAAAGTATTAGTAAGTATAATACTGCCTCTTTTGAACTAATAGGGAAAATTGTGTATTACATAAGTCATGAGTTAAACCGTCTCTAATCAGGTAGTGTCACCAGCTTTCTTCACTGGTGTTCAGCATTCATAGCCAGGATGTTTTAGGCAAGCACTCTGGTTTTCCAGCTCTGGTTGTTAAGACCTAACTTTTTTCAGTTAGTTTCATTTAGAATACGTGGTTCAACTAGAGCAATTACTGATCTTTTCTTGAAGTGTGTGGGGGGAGGTGTCCTCTCCTGACAAGATGGAAAGTAGTGGGGAAGCAAGGAGAAATGAAAAGTGTGCTCCCTTTGCTCCCATATGCTGTCCATGCCCTGGACACTTGTTCCCCACCAGGACACTTTCAGATCACCGTCTCCAATTCATAACTCCTGGTGTGGTGGCTGCCAGGGAAATCAGTGCCAGGGTGGGACACTGCAGATGGGGCAGGAGGAGTAAAAGGATGGTGTGGCAGGGTAGGCCTGAGCACCCACAAGAACAGGAAGACACTGGGGTACTGGTCAGCGAAGCTTGTCTAGACTAGGGGTATGAGGGCTTAGAACGGAGGTGTGAAGATTGGCATCCATTTGTATGTGTGGGGAGTTTCAAACCAAAGATTTATTCATCTGTTACACTGTAAATTGCAAGAACTAATAGGAATTGACAACCTTAATTTCAGCCATCGTGGTCTTACCTGTACACAAAACGTAGTAAGTGGTTTATGTTCTAGGTGCATGGTCCTGTACATGGTCCTGGTCTTGGCAATCTTGGTCATACCCAAACATAAAACAATGCAGTCACCAGTGTATCTGGAATATGATGCCATGATGCTCCAAAATCTGATTCCTCCTTTTTCTCACAAATTACTGTAAAAGGTGGTAATGAAGATGTTAGAATACAAATAATGTGATGTACAAGTGCATGGTAAATTGAAACAAGTTCAGGAGTACTTAGAACCTGCAAATAACACGAGACAGAGAACTTGTCCAAAAACTACAAGTTGATGGAAACTCACTTGAACTGCACGTGTCAAGATACAAGTCTTGCAGGCGGCTTCCTACATTGCTTGGTGCTTACAATATGTAATGAGTAAATTTCTTTTAGGTGTTTGCAGTACACATTAAGAATTTGATTTCTGGAATGTTGGTGTTGTAGAGGAGGTAGTATCTCAGTTAATCCTTTTGCTCATTGTGTATGCAAAAGATGATGCAAGTGGAGAAGCCAAGCTTGTAAAACCAGAGGTCCTTTGCTGAATAGAGTGTGAGAGGATTGGAAATTCTTCCTAGGAAAACACTGCATTTATCAATAGGAATTTGGCAACACATCCACCTTTGTGAACATTGCTAAGTACCTGATTCAAGAGACTCCTCACTTGCACATTTCATTATTTCTAATCCCATTTGTATAGCAATTGACTCCATGATGGAGTCACAATTTCTATCAGCGAACAAAAGCATTATTAGTTTTGTAATTTAAAATTTGTAGCTGGAAAGTTGTTTTTTAAAGTTCTTTTCAGATACTTGGCTGTGAGATGTTGCTGATGTAAAAGATCTGCTCCTGAAATGGTTCCAATGCAGCAGTCTTGGCTGGAGTCACCATGGCACATACATAGAATTTGGAAAAAATTGGTGATTTGCTTATCTTGGACTGACTGTCTCAAATGGTGAAAATCAAAGGGAAACCTTCAGTAGTCTGGGTTGTTGTTTGTGGTTTCAAAAATGGAGAATACTCAAAAAAAAAAAAGGGCATATAACATGGATGAATAAGATTGTTAAAATATAACTTGTGTTAAAGTTAGGATAGAAAACCACTTGAACTGTTGTCATTAGGTCTTTAAGAACTGTTTGGTAATGTATATTACTAAGAGTAATAGTGCATGGGTTAACTTGTGCTTTTTGGAAGATGAAATGCAACATGGGGAAGGCTTGGTACTGTAGGAAAGAATGGGATTATTGTATTTGCATGGACACAAGCTATTCTTGAAATTCTTAGAAAAATTATAATATCTAGATTTATATGCAGTGAATTTACGATTAATTTCTTTCATAACCACTTTACAAATATATATGTATAGGTAGAGTATTATTTATCTCTGAGCATTTGTCAGACTGATACTTGGTTTATGTGGCACAGAAATCATGGCAACAGAAGGAGGCATAACAAAATTCCAGTGCTTAGAAAATTTAATTTCCTTTTCAAAAATATTTGTATGTTTTCTTTCATTGTTTGTTTTTAAGGAAAATCAGGTTTAATTCCTCTCCTTCTTTTCATTTCTCAAGAGTTTCTAAACTGATGTTGGACTAAATACTTGATACTTAAACATTTCAGTGTTCATACACACACACCAAAGCTCACTTGAACAGTCACTTTGAATACTAAATATACCGATTTTGATTTGTATACATTGACTGGCTTTCTTTTGATGTAGGATGCTGCTACTACTTTGAAACACTGTTTTAGCTGTGTTGATTAGCAATCGTTTACTGTAAGACAGACATTTCATATTATGCTCAGGGTTGAGGTGTGACTGTACTGCTTTAGGCAGTATAAAGGGTGTTCTCTTACCTGTAATACTGAAGCATTGCATGGAAATGGCAGTACCCCTGACTTTGTGTTTGAAATGAAATGTCTTGAGTGCAGACATGATGCCACCACCTGTGTTGACACTTTTAAGTCCTTTCCTCGGTGGGGCCAGTAAAGCTGAGAGGGGCATTTCTGCTTCTTTCCATCTTTCTTCTAATCTGAGCATCCTCTGCCTCCAGGCCCTTTCCCAAACCAGAAATGTTCTACCAATTGTTTTACACCAGCTCTGAAGAGAGGCGTGCTGCCTTAAGGTAGGCAGAGGCCTGAGTAGGTTGGCAGCACAGGGTGGTACACAGAATTAGTGTTGTGGCTATGGAGGTAATACTTATTCTTAATATTTGGTATTTGGAGTTCTGTATATTACAGTGGTATTATTATATCACCATTGGGAACATTTCCTTGTATTTTGAAGGGGTTTTTTTATATCAAATACTTCCATATAAGTAGTTAAAGAGGAACTGAGAAGTGATGTTCTCAGATCAGTGCAGAATTTTAACAGTCATTGCACTCTGCCTACATGCATGGATTTCAAAGTTATGCAACCTCTTTTTATAGAGTTTTGTGTTCTGGTGATCTAGGTTTGCTAAGTTACTGCTTAGAAATATAAGCATATTAGGAGCTATAAATGATACAGAACTTAGGTCATAGCAAACTACTGTGTACCTCTAAAGATAAAAACATTTGCAGTAAGATTCAAGTAGAAGTGGCTTCCATCTGTGTGTATACTGACTTTAAAACTACTAGGTAGAAAAGGCTGAGTTGCTGTGATGTAGAGCCATACGCACTCTGGTGTGTATGGCATGGAGATGTTGCATATTTAGTTCAGACAGAAGGAACACTGATAACTGAGTGCCCAACACAGCAGCAATTGCTATTGGTTACCTGCAGACTGCAGCTGGGGGGAGAGGGAGGGCTGTAGCAGGGCATTATTGTCACCTTGGCACTGAGGGCGTGCCCTTCCTGACACGCTGCCGGTAGTTATTCCAAATTGCAGAGGTGCTAGGTCATCACAGTGTCATTGCTCAAGCAGGTTTTTTAGGATGAGCAAAACGCATTTTTTCTGATCTCATGGTTGGAGGAGACTGGGCCTGTTTTTCAGAAACATTACACACAGAAAAATCGACCTGAGGCAGACACCTGGCATGAAAAATATTTGCCTCAATGCTAACAGTTTGGCAAGATTTAATAAGCAAATTAAAACAGCGTGTAGTGATGGGAATTCAGCTGCAGTGATTGCTACCAGATCCACCAAGAATAATGGACTTGCATACCAACCCAGACTTACAACAAATATTGTGATTGTAGGTAACTAAATGACCATGGAATCTGGAGCAGAGAACCAGCAGAGTGGAGATGCAGCCGGTACAGAGGCAGAAACCCAACAGATGACAGTACAGGCACAACCACAGATTGCAACGTTAGCCCAGGTATAAAAATCATATGGTGTAATAGTTTTACCTAATGGATAATATTTTTAAGAGGGATAATGTCTGCTCACGGGCCTGAGAGAAGATTCCTTTGATACCATTCTGAAACAGGTGCGATGTATGGTTCCTTTAATATTTGTCTTCATATTTTTAAAGCAGTAGAGATTTTTAACTTCCCATCACACTAGACTGTGTTAGTTCTGAAGAACTGTGTGTGTGTAAATTGTGTAATGTTAACACAATAACGAATGAAAATATTTCTAGCATTCTTTACCACAACCACTCCACTGAAAGGTATTTTTTTCAGTTCATGTAATTTATTGTCTTTTTTATAGTGACTGGATTGTCTTGCTGTTATGTTTTCTGTTAAAAGCTTGGCTATAGTAGTGAGTTTAATTCTGAAGAAAACAAACTGAAAATATAGATAAGTAATGTAACAAATACAACATCTTATCAGATAGGATAAGCATTATAATAAAGTGGAATAACCTGGCATTTGACAGCTCATGTTATCCTGTTGTCTCCAGAATTTTACAGAACTGTTGGCTATTTAGAGGTACAGAAGTAGATAATTTGTTATCCCCAACTTATTTTGGAGGGACAATAAATAAAATCCCAGCTACATCTCTGATTCTGAAACCTAGTTTCAGTTGTGGATACACTGATGGTTGGCAGAAGCAACTCCATTGTATAAATGAGTACAAAATCTATTTGGCTCTTTTCTGTAACCATTTAATTTTAAAACTATTTATAGTCTGCAGAGAACAAACAGGTATTTTAGATCTCATAGTTTGCAGAACTGAGTGTCTTTTAAGTGTCATAAATGTTAAATCACTTATCATTTTATAAATTATTAGTGTCTTTTTAAAGTTATTACACCTTTTGGTAATCCAGAGATCGTACACTTCCATTCAAATGATAGTGTAGGGATTGGAGCTGTTAAAATGCACAGGGTGATTTTGTTGGGTGAAGCTGTAGTGTGAATTTACAAGCCACCAGCTGCCCTCCACCAGCTTGCCTCTTTGGGCAGTTTTCTCACTGTCTAACTTAGGCACAGGATGTAGGTGGTGTGAATAACACCTCAGTGTGAACTGAGTGGAAGTAGTTTATTTCTCTTGCAAAACCAGTAAACTGCTTCTCACTTGATATGCTTTGAGTCCAGAGAAGTAAGAATGTTTTAAATTTGTATGCTAACATACTAACCTCCAGGGAGCTGAACTTACAAGTATGTACTGGCTTGAATGCACTCTTTACTTGGAAAAAATTACCCCAGTACTTGAATGAGAATTTTTTCCAAGTAAGAAAAAGCTATACAAGTATGGTTAAAATCCATGTGAACCACTATGTTGTCATTCACTGTACTGTTTGCACCTCAGCGTCTCCCCAGTTGTTTGTGGAGGTGATACAACAGTCTAAACATAATTCATTTTGTTGTTCACATCAGTGTTACATTATTATATTTTTAATATATGAAATGGAAGTGTTTGGCCTTAGGGAGTGCCCTCAGAGGCTTAGCCAAATCTAAATAACTAATTATGTCAATTTAATTCCTTCATTATCTCTTGTAAGGTCACCCCTCTTGCAGGCTTAGTTTAATTGCTGCATTTTTAGTGAGTTCAGGGTAGTTTCAGAGTCAAAAGGAAACTCGTCCCAGTTCCACAAGGTATGAGTCAGAGACATCTGCGGAAGTTAATCCAACCGCATTGGCCTCCAGTTGATCAGCTTTGCCAAGGACTGTTTAGTCAGACAAGCATTATTAAAAAGGTCGCTTGGTAAAGGAATATAATTTGCCAGAGAAAAGTGCTCGTGTTAATCCCAGCCCTGGTTTCTCTCAGATGTGAGTTAAGTACCACCATGTAATGCTGCAGCTGTTCTCCTGAAAAAGGAAGGTAAAAGCAAACGAAAATTGGTGGATTAGGGAGACATCTGTGGAGGAGAGAGGTCTACATGTAATTCCCTTTAATTTTGTTGTTAAACAAGATTTCATTGTAAGTGGTGAATGTTTATGGAAATTCAGATATCAGCTGTTGCAGCTTTTTGAGAACCACGTGTTCACGGGGACAGCAGAGGATTTCCTTCTGCATCCAGTACATAGCAGCTATCCCTTTGAGATTAGGTAGGACAGCAGTGCAGCTCCTTCTCGCGCTGGAGCTACAGGGATTGAATGTTTTTAAAATGCTGTTGAACCCTGGAGGATTGTTAAATTTTCCAAACTTGGGTGTCTAGAAGAAGGCTGGCAAGTCAGTGACCCGTGACGTGGCTGGGGCCTGCCAGAGCAGCTCCCACTTGCCTGCAGTCCTTCCCTGAGGGCTGTGATGTGTGAGGGTACGGCAGCCCTGGCACCCTCCTGTCCTTCAGGAGCCCCCAGCCCTGAACACGTGCATCATGGCACCAGACAGTTGCTCAGTACTGGATGTGCACCGGGGCAGTGGTCCAGCCATGCAGCAGCCTTGGTGCATGGCACTCCAGCTGCCCATGATAGTAATTATGACCTGCCAGAGTGAGACATGAACAGCTTTGTGTGGGTACTGCTGTGCTCGGAGCCCGAGCCCCTGCGCAGGACATGCTCACCTACCATGCTGAAGTCATTGGTGTATCCCTGTTGGCAGAGCTGCTATGGCTGCGGGTCCGTGCTGGAGAAACACAATTGTGTTCAAGAACTGAGAGTTTAAAACATGGGCAATTCTTCATCAAGCTCTTAAGACTAGAATTTGTATCGATCTGTTGCACCGAATCACAATAACTGCCTACAAAATACTTCTTTCCACTGCAAACTCACGGGCTTTCTGTCTGAACACATGGTCACTTTTCTTCATTTAAATGGACTTTACCAGCTAATCAATGCAGTTTAGTCTGTTGAAAGTCTGAAATGTACGATTCCCTAAAAAATTTAACTTCTGACATCTGGCAGACACTTCTCATTTTCTTGAGGGAGAACTTAAAATACCTCCACTCCCATATGTTTCTGCCTTTGACTCAGCAGTGTCTGTAGGAGTACACCCAAGTCCTAGCAGAATCCAACTGAAGTAAATGAAAGATAATAATGTGTTTGTTTCAGGTTACCTGAAGATAGAAGCAGTTGTCAGTGATTTTACAAATGATGTTTTAAGCCTGCAGAAATTCTGCATTAGATTAATTTGTAAAGTAGGTCAGGTGTTGGGCTTAGGCAGTTCAGGGGGGTTTATATTATGCTGAAACATTTGGGTCATCTAACTGGGGTCTAGAAGAGACAGTTTTTCACCAGAACATGTACTGAAATAAGGAGATTTTGCAATAACCTAATTTATGCTCAATGTCTCCTCTTTGCAGGTATCTATGCCAGCAGCTCACGCAACGTCTTCTGCGCCCACAGTGACCTTAGTTCAGCTGCCCAATGGGCAGACGGTTCAAGTGCATGGAGTAATTCAGGCTGCCCAGCCATCAGTTATTCAGTCTCCACAGGTCCAGACAGTTCAGGTACTGACTGAAGAAATTCCTAGTACGTGAATAGGGCCTTTGGAATAGTCTTGTCATTGCTCTGGTTTCTAATGTGTTTGTGTCCTGGATTGTGTTTTTGCTTATATAAAATTTAAGAGCATGTTGAAGGCAAAATCTGTACAGTTTTTGCTGCTCTGTGACTTTTTTCCTGTTCTGGTTTAAGCACTTTTCACTGTCAAACATTGCTGAGTTTCATTTATCTCTAGAATTTGTTTGGTGAGTTTAACAGCTTCATGGGTTTTTTTACAGTATTACTCTACTTTTTCTCTCTATCATATTTTCATACAACTTTATTGAGTAAGAGTTCATACTATTCTGAAGTGAACAACAGCATGGCATTTTTTTTTTCATAATATAATCTTTAATATTAATGAGGCTGGTATTCTGGGACGAGAGTCTTTGCTACACAGAAAATATTTGCATTGGTCTACAAAACAGATGTCTATATGTTAATGGTGCTTAAAATACACCTATCAGTCCTTACATAGAAATGGTTTTAAAATGTGCCTGTTAAGCGTTTTGTGCTTTGTAAAGTCTTTCCCCTCTGGAAAGCAAGGCAGGTGATGCAATATGATGAAGTAACTTGAAGACATAAAGAGACAAGTAGTCTGAAATCTTTAAAATCTCTAACTTTCTTTTTAACCGCTTGAAGCTCAGTGTTACTGAATGCAGAAATTGTTTGGCATATAGCAGCTACACAGGGCAAGGACTGTACACTATTCATTTGCTATTAGTACACTGAGCTCAAAAAATGATTAATTTTAAAGAGCAGACATTGTGACTTTTTGATACAGGTATTCAGCTGGGTAATATTTGAAAAAATAAGGCATGCATAATTTAAAGCTAGGCCATTCTGATAATAATCTTTGTTTTTCCTTATCACCTTCAGTGCTGAGTTTGTGGCAGGCTCTACCCTCCTCAGCCATTGCAGTCAAAAGTTTAGAGTTCTAATCTATCAGAGGTGAGCAGTTTTGAGATAAATGCAAATGTTACTAGCCCAGAGGTGGAAGATAAGAGACTGACAATGAAACAATGCTTGGAACTCACCTGGTTCAGTGCAAATCTAGCATGTTTTGATACTCAGAGCCCAGTAGTTCACAGTCAGCCTTGGACCTGTTCAGGCCTTCTATCTGATAACTGAGATGTGGGTGCCAGCAAGATTTTTGAGCCTCTAGGAATCTTCTCTACAGTGCATAAAATGTCAGGCTGCGAGCTCTGTTTCTCACACAGGCATCGCTAGCTTTGTCATGTGACTGTGGTCTTTTGGAAAACAGTATCTGTTTTTAGGTATTGGAGGTGGTTTTATACTTCTGGCACACTTTGAACTTAAAATTATTTAAATATGATTGATATAAACATTTTAGCTTTCTTACATTAACATGTCTCCTTTTTTTAGCACAGATGTTCAGAATTGCAGCACTACATTATTTTTTAACATCAAGTATGAGATTTTCCTGACAATTTCCCCCCCAAAAGGCAGTCTTTCTCTAAGATATCTACCCCATTATTTATAATTTATGTTTCTCAACTTCAGTATTTGTTTCCAAACATTTCTGCTCTCTTAATTTGATTTTAGTTATTATCTCCCTAAATTTTACTAAAAAATCTATCTTTCTTTACTTACAATGGATGGAAACAAAGAATCATGGAAGGCAAAAATGTATGGTATTACTGTTTCTATTTTCTTATTGGAGTATTTAAATTATAAAGGACATTCTCATGGGTAGATGACTGACTGTGGTCATCCTTTACTGGATCTGTTACTAAGCCATGTGTTCTTTATGTTCATTGCCTAGATAGAAGCACTGTAGGATTACTTGCATTGTAGTGTTTTTCACAGGATGTCAACATTTCCTTGATATAAAGACATTGGAAGTGTCTTGTTAAATTTGATTGCTGTTCTTATTTACAGATCTCCACTATAGCAGAAAGTGAAGATTCACAGGAATCAGTAGACAGTGTCACAGACTCCCAGAAACGAAGAGAAATTCTTTCCAGACGACCCTCCTACAGGTACAGAGGTTAAAGCAGAAGCATTTTGCTTGATGGGTGTGTTCACATGGGGAGACAAACAGTGTGATTGTATGAATATTTTTAGGTTGACCATTTAACTGAAATCTTCTAAATATCTCCTGCAATGTCTTGGAATTGGAGTATGGAATATGTCCATGGAATAGGATGTAAAGAGATCAGCAGATAGAAGGAGGAGGAAGAAACCTCAGGTGTCACACTTAGTTAAGACAGAAGTGAGCTGAGAATATGCTAATTGCCACATTTGGGGAACATTGAAGTATCATTGTGCTAGGTGCCTTAGAGATAGCTTTAATGAGTACTTAAAACATGAAATACACCAAAGCTTTGCAAGAAGTGGCTTCTGTATAATCTCTAGTCTGCAGAAAATCAACTTATTGTTGAAGTGCTAGCAGCAGTCAAACTTAGTTCCTTTCTCCCATGAGACTTTCAATGAACATGTCATGTTCTGTGTCTCAGAGAGAATTTCCACTTGAGCAAAATTGTTTGTGTTTAAAGTTTAAGAAGTCAGGGTATGAGTTGAATGTAGTGATAGGCATCTAGTGTCTTTAGTTATCATGGCAAATACCTCTGCAGCAAAACCAACTGAGGTGCTCCTTCACATGGTGTTAGTCATATGTTACTTGATTAATTAAGTCTTTGTACAGCTTTTTGGGCCTGTACTAAATCCCATTTTCATTATTAAAATATGCTAAATAGCATTAAGGAACAGCTCTGGAGTTCAGTAGGTTTTAAATGACCTGTGGGTTCTTGCTGCTTCAGAAAACTCAGATGCTCCTTTTTTCTTTCTGAGCATAGCCTTAGAAAGTACAAGCTAGGCTCTAGGCCTGAGCATATCTCAACCATGATATTTTTTTAGCACTTGGAGATTATTTTCTATCTTCTCCGACTGCCTTCAAGGCTGTTCTGCTGAAGGTAGTGAAAATAATTGCTGAAGATCCCTAACCATGATGGATCTGGGAAAATATTTTTGTTTGTGAGGACCAGTGTTGCTAACTTCAAGGCTGCCATAGACCCCTCGCAGTCTGTTTCTTCAGGGAGACACTTGTTTTTACTATATATGGAAGAATGGCTGTATATGGTGAGACAACAGAGCTAAGTAAACAAGCAGCAAAACTGAGAAGAGGGTACTTGTGCCTGGTGACTTCTCATTGAAACGGACTCCTTTGCATGCACTGATACCACAGCACAGCCTTTGTCTTCCAACCAGATCCTGGTGATCAGCAAAACTTTGTAACTGTAATATTTGTGTAGACAGCTCAGACTCTGGGCTGGTATAGGTCAAGTCAGAAAGGCTGATCCAGATCACTGCTGTGTTCAGTGACTTCCCAGCTGGCATTATTCAAGCTGCTTGCCCAGAGACAACATAGGTGCAGATATTCTCACAGAATTGAAAGCTGTATATACCTCTTGCTCAGAAACTTCACTGTGATTTTGCTACTAAAGCACATCATGTGTTCCCCATGTCAGTTCATAGCTGCTATATTTGTAAAGCAGCCACCTTACCATTTGTCTAAATCCATCTTTATAATGGCAAAGGTAGGTTTTAACTACCGGGTCACACTGACATGAGCTTAAAAAGTGATTTTTTATCTTTTTGGGGTTTGTTCTGCCTCATCCCTGGTTTCTCCATATTTTTTCCTCTGTTTCATTCACTAGATTTTCTGGTCTAACACCTAGATTGCAAACTCTTCTGGGTGGGAATTTTTTATTTGTCCAAGTGGTGCTTGGCACAGTGGAGTCTTTGTGCAGTGCTGGGGTTCTTGCATGTACTTGCCACTTTTGCAGTGGCAAAGCTCTGTTTGTCAAGCTGCTTAGCAGAATGACTGCTCTCCCCAGACAGCTCCATACACATGTTCTGGCTCCCACAACTTCAGAAGCCATATATAAGAAATTAGTGTTGTCTTGGAACTTGAGGTCTACAGCTGTGTTTGCTTCATCCCACAGTGAGTTCTAGTGACAATCCACTGGAAAACATATGAGGAGCCCTTTACCTAAGCAGCAGTTTGGCAGTGACATAATAGAAAATGCCAGCAGTGAAGAGGCTTGACAGTCCTCTGAGGAGGGACAGTGTCTGATCTCAATGATGCAAATTGCAGTAACTGCTATGGTCAGTACACAGTCACGTTCAGTAGGGCCTGCAGCAGTGATATTTTAGCAGTTTTGGCTTTGGATGATGAACTCATGAAAGTAATTAAAAAGCATTTTCTTTTCTTTACCCATGCTAATCTCAGAACTTTCTCAGGCAGGACACCTGTGAACATAACTGCATAACTGTGTGACTGGGTATTGTCTCCCAGGCAGGTGTTATTATGAACTGGTTGCTCTCTATAAGCATTTTGCTACCTTCCTTTGTACTCAACTCTCTGGCTGAGGCGTTTACAGTCTCTAAAATGGAGCAGTTCCCCTAATGTAAGTGAGGAGACAGGGTTGTATGTCTTTTTGCTTTCTTTAGATCTTTATGTAGCTAAAATCAGGAAACAAGTAAAAATGGATCAGAGAAACATTTTTAAGAAAAAGGTAAGGTTGTGATAGCTGTATCTTGTGTTTTGAGAAGCACAGTTGTTCTGTGCTGCCCATCTGTGTTTGGCACTTTGAAAAATCCTCTCCAATAAGAATTTGAAGGTAGTGTGTGTTTTTCATTGTGCACCCATGTTTTCCTTGCTGGCTTACTGCACTTTACAGTTTTCTCCAGCATTGTGTATCAATTAGAATATTTTTTCTCCCGATTTTTATTAAAATCTCGACAACACACTGTCTTTGCCAGAAAAATTTTGAATGACTTGTCCTCAGACGCCCCAGGAGTGCCAAGGATTGAAGAAGAAAAGTCTGAAGAGGAAACAGCAGCACCTGCCATCGCCACTGTTACGGTGCCAACTCCCATTTACCAAACCAGCAGTGGGCAGTACAGTATGTAGTCTGAATTTCTCAGTGGTGCTAGTAAGTGGGGATGAGAAGATGAAGAACTATTATTTCTATAACTGTTTGGACTAGGAAAAAGCAGGAGGTGAAAAAAAGATGGCTTTACTTTGACTGATAACCATGCCTTTTAAACACATTCCTATTGTAAGTATTTGAAAGGTTCAGTTAACATTCTGGGACTGTTTGCCACTTGGTGCAGCTAATGCATCCTGAAGCAAAATAGGAACTAACCATAATGCTATTATAAACTTCTTCACTTCGGGAACTAGATGAGCTTATTCAGAAATTTCTTTTTTTTCTTTGCAGTTTATTAATACTTGTTCACAAAACTATAACCGCATTAATAGAAATGTCATTACAGTCTGTAATTACATTTTTAGAAAGTCCTGAAAAAATAAGAACTTCAACAACTTTATTTGAAATATGTAATGAACGTACATTCTATGTTTTCTTTATTCACTGGATTTAATAAAGATAGTGCTTTGACTTAAAGGGTTGAGGATACATCAGTAAAGATAGAAGTCACGTGCTGTCTCACACAAACACCTACAGTGTTAAATACACAACAAGGAGGAAGAACTACTTGTTTCCATCTTTCTCTTAAAATATCTTTAAATTTTTCTATCTCTGTTTACTGCTTCACCACTTTGCCTAGTACCCTGCTTTATTTTATTGAAATGGATTTGGTTAATTCTGGATCCTATAACTGTAATAGTTACAGTTAATTGTGCAGACACTGGAGATTTTGGTGTGTGTGTATATAGGAATACAGTGAAATTCTGTGGAATCACAAATGAGGGGTGATGTCCCAGTATACCTGCATAACAGGATTGGGGAAAAGAAAAGAAAAAAAACCCAGAAAAGTAAGACTGCTTTAAGGAAACTGGACCTTTAGGAATGAAAAAACTGATAGGGAGGGCCTGAGGAACTTGTAGAGAAGGGGGGATACAATCAGAAGAAAAAAAATGACAAAGCAAGAAGAAAGTGAAACACAAGGTGGGTAGCAATATTAGCAGGGGAGACAGAAGGGCATAAAGTATGGAAGAGGAGAGGAATTTCAGATGAGAATAAAAAAGTAAGAAGTGAGAAAAAGAACTAAACCAACCAAGAAGAAAATCTTAACTAACAAATTAAAAAGTATTCCCTGGGGGACAGTTGTAGGCTCACAAAAAATTGGAAACTTACTTTCAAAGTGTGATTTTTTTTAATTAAAGCCATGTGTGTGATTTCAGGGTGTATAAGTGTTCAAGGGATTTAACTCAGATCAGTATTCTTCCATATCTAGGTTTAATACTGTAAGTTAATGAGTAAATTAGTGTCTTAAATGCTGTGTTGATTTTTTTGTCTGCAGTTGCTATTACCCAAGGAGGAGCAATACAGTTGTCTAACAACGGCACAGATGGAGTACAAGGTCTCCAGACATTGACAATGACCAATGCAGCTGCAACCCAACCTGGCACCACCATTTTACAATATGCACAGACCACAGACGGACAACAGATACTTGTACCCAGCAACCAGGTTGTTGTACAAGGTGAGAAACTTCACAGCCAGTCATTCTGTATAACATTTTCTCCATGCAGATACAAGTTGCCAACTTAACTCCTTCAAATGTGTCAGGAAGCAGATTTAACAGCTTTGACACAATAAGTCTCCAAAATTATTAAAGGAAATTCTGGACAAAGCTATTTGTCACATTTTCTTGGAGCCTTTCCCTTTAGATTGATAAAATTGTAGATATTTTGGGTTTACTTCTTATAACAATATATTTATTTTGGAGTTTCCATGCTGTATTTCCTGTATTTTTTTATGTTCTGCAAAAACTGATAGAGCTCTGAGTTCTCCCATGTCTGCAGCAATAGGAAATTTAAAGTAAAGCATTAAAGATAGGAAGGAAGGTTGTTTGATTCTAAACTTAAATTTATTAGTGATTTTTTCCCCTTTTCAATTACAAGTCATACTTTCTTCCTATTGTGACTTTTGTAACTAGTCACCGAGTAGTTAATCAGTGAGTCTTGGAATCATATAACAATTCAGAAAAGTGCCTTGAGTGATCATTTGGTCTAGCCCTTCATTTGTCAGGGCTACTTTAACTTAGATTAAGTTGTGGGGGTTTACTGTATTAAAATATATGGTTTGGTTTATTAAAAATGGGAGAGTTATTAAAATTTTTTAATTGAAAATAACAGAGAAAGTGTATCCCTGCTTTTATGATTGTAAAGCAGTTGATTTGAAAGTTATCCAGTGAAGAGTTTTCCAGGCATCAGTGAAAACAGCAGAGAGAAATACTATTGTTGCATTGATCTTCTGGGGTTTGTGTTTTTAAGGACATGTGATTTCTTTAGGTGTTATTGTAGTTTTTTATGAGCTCAGGCAAAATTAACGCATTCCTAGATTACAATAAAGAAAAAAAAAGAGAAGCCCAAGACCTTATTCATTCTAGAGAAGTAGTGAAACTGAGTGCATTCCACTCTGTTGGGAGTAAATGCTACATTCCCCACCCATTTTTCTGTGCCAAATACTTACACATGCAGTTTCTCCTTTTGCAGATAGACATTTATAGCATAGCTAGAAATAGTGTTTACACCATTCTTCACTGGAACTGCCCGAAAACCAGAGAAGTAAAAAGAAATACACTAAAGGAGAAAGAAGCACAGCTATACAGCCAGACAAAGCAAGTTATCAAGCACAAGTAAGGACTTCTTCAGCAGGAATGCCCAAAACCTTGCCTTTGTTAATAAGCTAAGACTGAGGCAGCAGTGATCACCCAGATGGTGGCCACCCCTCCTGTGCTGTGGCCCAGAGCGCTCAGTTGGATTGATGACGAGGTGCTGTTCGCACCACATGTGACAGTGCTGTCACCAAACTGACATCATGTTTCCCTGTGTCTCTTCAGCTGCCTCAGGAGACGTGCAGACCTACCAGATCCGCACCGCCCCTACCAGCACCATCGCACCCGGCGTGGTCATGGCGTCCTCCCCAGCGCTCCCGACGCAGCCGGCAGAGGAGGCCGCACGGAAGAGAGAAGTGCGCCTAATGAAGAACAGGCATGTACATTTAGATCACTTCCTTTTTTCCAGTCAGCTCTGCACAGAACTAGTGTCAAGCTCTAAGAGTCCCGATCTTTCTTAGTCAAATCATTTCTGAAGAATTTGCGTTTATTTTAAGATGCAAAGCAAAGAAACACTCATCAGCTAATGCTGTGTGTTGTGACTATGAAACCTTGACTAAAGGTGTCAGACTCATTCTGTGAGGTGTGTGAACTTTTTGTTGCCAAAGGAAAAAAGTAATTAGTGAGAGACCTGTACAACTGCAGATATGTTCTTGCAAATGCCAAGGTGAGTTGATTTTTTTTTAATTAATATATTAATGTAGTTTCCTTTCCTGGATTCTTTCCCTTAGCCTTCTGCATGCATTCTCCTTGCTGCTGGCCCACCTGTGCTCTTCGTGAGTGTTTTCTTGATGGTCTCACTTGTTCTCTTTAGCTCTTGCCCTTTAGGTTTTTTCCTCCAAGGCCAGAAAGGCTCAAGAAAAGGCTACACGAGCAGCTACTCGCTTCTCCTTTTGACTGAAGTCTTGTGGAGCCAGTAGTGCAGCAGAGGAGCTGAGAGACAGAGACTTGCTTCTGTAGGATTTAATGTATTAGGAGGAACAGCTAAGCTTATAGAGCTGAGAGTTGGTGGAAGTAGCAAAGGAAGGGAGCAGTAGAGAGAAGTTGGGCATGATGCTCCTTAGGCCTGCTGTTATGGGACAGGGAAGGGATGGGCCTGAGCTTGAACAGTTCACAGCAAGCTTGAACTCTTATCCACAGAGCACAGATTTGAGCCTGTATGTTACACTGTGACACTGGGAATAGAGTGCTTCCCTCCCTTCTGAGGAGGGGAAGCCCCATTCAAGCCTTGTAAACTTCATCTGTCAGGCTGAAAAAACCCTATGGTGTTGTACAGGTTCGTTTATCTTCTGTAGATTGCTGTGCTGTGAACACAATAGAAACTTGCATGAGCAGTCCCAGTGCTTATATGTGGGGCTTTAATGAAGTAAATAATGCTGAACAGCAGAGTTCACTTTTTTAAGAGGTTTTTGTACAGATACTGATACCAGTGAATAGTAGATATCACCCTTTCAGGCTCTGCATTTGAGAAAAATTTAATTAGAATCACAGAATATCCTCATTTAGTCAGCAGTCTTATTCCATTAAAAGAAAGCTTTTGTGTTCGTGAAAGCCAAGAAAAACAATGGGGAATTACCCCCCTTGAGTTAAATTGACAGCTTTTGCAACAGTATCACGTTGCATGTGGTGCTTTTAGTCTGCCTGCGTAATAGATCCTTGCAAATCTAGACTCCATAGCAAAGCAGGGAAAAGAGATAGAGAGGCAGATGGTGAGGTGGCACTTATTGAAGGATTATAGTGTAAATATTCATAGATATTATTGTGCAAATTTTCTGTATAAATTTTACATGTTTAAAGCTCTCTTGTAATTCATTATAACTGTGGCTCTTCACAATGAACCACACAGCCTTGAGGTGGCTTAATACACAGACTAAGCTGGCACAAAAATCACAAAAAGAAAGAAAATGTTGTCACCCAAGGAGGCATGTTAATAGTTTGCACTGTAAGGCAATTCCTGATACAGTAGTACTTAATCTTTTGGTAACAGCCCAACATTACTTAAATTCTAAATATTACACATGACCCACTGAAGCACTGCAAGCATGTGAAATTGTATTTGTAGGAGTGACAAATGGATACCTGAATACTTTCAAGGTTTACAAACTGTGTTTTCTTCATCCTGTCTCATTTGTGGAGATGAATTTCAAAAATTGCTTTAGAGGTTTCTTACCAGTTAGGTCCTGGAACACATTCTTTTTACCTACTAGTACCTAGTACTACAGCTACTGTTTATCTCATAAGGGGAAGAACTGGGTTCAGTTTTGTCCTCTCATTTCCCAGAACACTGACTGTATCACCAGGCTATGTAGTGTTTGCAATGAAGGGACACACTGACTCTGTTTTTGAAGCTGTTCTGCTTTGCACCTAAAGGTTCAGGGCAAACAAGTGTGTACATTTCCATGTGTCTGCAGTGTGCTGCTTGAACGAGTAGCACTGCAGGAGGAGAGCCTTCTGTCTGGGCTCCCATCTGCCTGTGGCATTTAGCCTTGTGCTTGCTTTGCACGTTGGTTTACTGTTGCTGTGCAGGATAGCTTCTGCCTTGGTGTTCCTGCCTTCAGGATGCTCAGCAGCGCATTAATACCTTTCAGCTGTTTTCCACTGGTGTTTTTAGTATGTTATCAAGTTACCTACAGGCAACTCAGTCTTTACAAGCAAGGCTTAAAAGTTTGACTTGAGATCTTGAGATCTGCTTTAGCACATTACCACTGCCATGTTCTTGGAACAGCCAACAAGGACTAAAGACTTATATGGTTCCTAGTGACTGGTTATTTTGTGATATTTTTATTTGAGTCTTTTATAATGCCATTGCAGTGATGCAGACATTATGATTAAAATGAAATCATTGCTCGAGAGCAAATACATGAATATACTAAATACAGTGATTTTTAAACCAGTTGAACATCCCGTTGGACTACAGCAAAGGGAAGAGTTAAAGACTGTAAAAAGAATAATAGATGATAGTAAAATCAATTAAATTATTGCAGCAGCAATTTGACTAGCCTAAAGGCTCTAATGTAAATCCTGCAAGCAGAATTTTGTCATTGAGTAGGATCCTTTTCTCACAGAAACAGAATTTTATTGGTGCTGTCTCACTGGGATCTGCATGATGAAATGATATGTGAAGCTTGATTATACATGATTTGTGAGGAGCAATTGTTATGAGTTGAGTGTTTTTTCCTCACTTGCATTTCTTAACAGTACCTCCATATTCTGAAAATGGCACTACTAGATAAAGGTTTGACCTGAAAACATTTAAGTAGCTCATGTCTGCAAGTGATTGTTCTGGATTTGAATGGTCTTTTTTGCTTTGCAGAGAGGCAGCACGTGAATGTCGCAGGAAGAAAAAGGAGTATGTGAAATGTCTAGAAAATCGAGTGGCTGTGCTTGAAAACCAAAACAAGACACTGATTGAGGAGTTGAAAGCACTTAAGGACCTTTACTGCCACAAATCAGATTAATTTTGGATTCTCATTTTCACTTGTCCAGAATGGGATAGAGACTGGTTCTGGCTATACCCAGAAAGACAAAGTAAACTTTTTATTTTCTAAACATTTCTTTTTTTCTATGCGCAAAACTGCCTGAAGCAACTACAGAATATACTTCATCTGTGCTTTGCATCAAACTGTGAATGTTCAAGTACTTGCCTCCACTTCTCCCCTTACAAGATGAATTTCATCATCAATCTCAGCGTGAAGAAGAAGAACAGGCGTCTTTCTCGTCTCCCCATCCTCTTCAAGGAGTAACAGTGGTCCCTTGGGAAGTTACTGTGGGGAGGGTCCTTTTGTAGTGATGTCAAGAATTTGTGCTGAGCTCTTTCCATTGCCTTAGAGACAGAACCACCCCAGCCTCCTGGTCCAGCACTCATGGTGCAATGAATAAGCAATGGTTGCCAAATTGGTTTCACACACTCATTATGAACTACACAAATACACAGCTAAGCAGCATGCCAAATGAAAGGCTTCACTGGCACATACTTAGTGTGGAGATAACACCTTTTTCAAACTAGCCCAGGAGGGGGGTTGATTTGTAATCTGTTAAGCCCTCCTGGACTAGTAAAACCTTCTCCATACCTCGGAAACAAATGCATTGAAATGAGCTTCTCTGGTCGGTTGTTGCTTCTCATAGCTTATGTGTGCAAGTGTGTTCAGCATTCTGAATGCACGAAAAGCAAAAACCAACTCCATAGGATATAGGTTGGAAGATGATATTTGAATGGGAAAGGAATTCAGAATAAAAAAGATACAATAGTGACATTCTGAAAACAGTAAGCAAGTGTAGCACATGGAAGCACTACCTATTTGTATGCAGAACAACTAAGAAGTTGAAGCCAGCTCTACATAAATACTCCCTGATGACAGTATGGTCTGTGTCCCAAGTCCTCTCAAGCAATGAGGTTGTTTCTATTTCCCTAGCACTGTCTTATGTAATGGAAATTATTGTACTTGATGGAAACATCGGCCTGGTTTCCTAAGTTCTTTTTCAAACTTGGAGGCTGCCTTCCATATGTAAATTAAATTGTGGTTATGACAACTACTGAGAAAACCTCAAATACTGAAGAGGACTTTAAACACAAGTACTCCTGCTTCACACGGGACAACACTGATTCTTCTAACCTGGCCAGGTTAGCTAAATTCTTAATTCATTCGGGGTATTTTTTCATGTAAAGGGTCCGATTTACCGAGTAATTTATTCCTGCAACTAAAATTACTCATGTGCCTCAGATGTTTGCAAGATCAGGTTTTTTGTGTGCACTGAGGAACTGTGATCTTTCCCAGATTTATGTTGTTAAAAAAGGTAGTTCATGTTTAAAAACAACTGTGTACTGAGCATTAGGACTTCAAAAGAATCATGCTCATAAAGAACCAAAAAAGAACGTCAAGAAGTTGTCAAAAAGAATGTGTAAAACAGAATCATGTGCAGTTGTTTACTGGGCCTTTGAAGCCAGTCTCTTGATATGTTAACTTGGGTCATTTGATGGAGTAAGTTTACTTTGCGCTTCTGGTCAAACTGTTATGTATAGAAACATGAATAAGGCTCTGGTCTGTACTAATGCCTTGCCTAACAGAGTATTAGTTAATATTTTTACCCATTCACTCTGTTTTTAAGTTAAATTTCACACACAAGCTTCTAAAAGGTTATACAATCAGTGTAATGTTATAAGAAAAATATTTGGAAGGCTCTGGGCAGTTGAGTCTCAAACACCTAAGCAGTATTAAAAGTTGATGATTTCTCATTTGAGAGCATTCCGTTTCAAAGAGACTTAATTTAAAAGGAGCAAGGTTAAACTTACAGCATTATTGTTAACTTCAGAGTTATCAAGAGTTTCAAATTAAATTTGTATTTCAAGAAGAGAACATAAGTATCAGAAATATGAAAGAATTCATTTTCATAGGTTTTGAGAGGTTTATAAATGGTCTATTTTTATCTGCCATAGAGAGTTGATTTTCATGTTTTTATTTAATGGGAGATAAATTTATTAGTTTAGCAATGCAAATTTAAGGAAGACCCCAAATTCTCAGCAATGCTTGTATAAAAATGATCTGATTCCTAAAGTGATCGAATAGAAATATATGCAACGATTACATTTTCCGGAAATAGTGCTGAAGTAGAAATGTTGATAATGCAGGAGTCTTTCTTCTAAAACATGAAGGTCATGGTGGCCTCATTTACAATTACGTGGAATGATTCCTCCAGCTTTAAGAAACATGGAAAAGGCTGTACATGTCAACATTAAGGCTGGGTTTTTTTGCAGAACATCTGTTTGCAAAAACGTGAGGTTTTGCTGTGAACGGAATGAGGCGAGCTGTGATCTGAGAGCTGTGTCTGGTGGGTAATGGACACTGTCTAGTGCTTGCTGATAGTCACTGGGAGCTGAATGGACATGAGAGCCTAAAACGGTACCCAGATGGAGTTCTCCTAATACAGGGTTGGTGCAAATTTGTGCAGCAGTGAGAGAACTGTGTTACCTGTTCGTCTGTGTGTGTTCTGCCAGTGGCCTGTAGAGTTATTAGTCTAGACCTCATTAGCAAATAATGTTTCACTAAGAAAAAGATGTTATTTTAAAGTACATAGGGATCTGCTGGAATCGGTATTTTTATTTATGCTGCACTGAGGATTTAGGGATGTAAATTTATTTAAAGGAAATTTTAAGTGACAATAGTAAAAAATTTATTAGACCAAGTACAGGGCTGGCTAGGCTACCCCATACATGCTTTACTGTTTATATTGACCCAAAAAGGGAAAGAATATGACACAGGAATCCATTCCTATGTTATTTACCAAGTAGTGAGGTTGGGGTAATAAGCTTCTATAAACTAAGGCCATTTGGAAGTTTTGGAAGACGGAAATTATGCTGGCAGGGGGGAAGGGTTAGTTTTATATCTCACGATTGTGAGTTTTCAAGAACTGATAGCCTGTTTTACCTGAAGAGAGGGTTAGAAAGGGCTAGATCCATTATGTTCATAATAAACAAGAATTGGTTTGAAATATAGTTTTTGTAATGTCATTATTTTGCAAAACAACAGCACCAGTCAGGCAGTTAAGATATTGTCAAAGGTGCTCTTTTAATTTAGATATTCTTGGAAAATACATATGTATAATATATGTACATATATATATATATATACACAGTATATAATCTACAGCTCTGAGAGCTTTTAAGTCAGGAATGCTGAGTATTATAGTATATGGAGGTCAGAAAAAAATTTTTACTTTTCTGTGTGTGTGTCTGGGTGTGTGTGGATGTGTGCGCGTGTGTGAAAGCCTCCCCCCACCCCAGGAGCTCTGGGCTGCGTTATTCTAGCGCTTATTACTGATTTGTTTTGTTCTGTTTCTCAGTTACCCATTATCAAGAATTTTATTTCATCTTTCATGGCTTTTGTGAGGTTTGTTTTTTTTATTGATGGAGATTTTTGAAATTACGTAAACAGTTGTTTCACAACAAGCACCACCCAACCCCCAGAATAATTCGCTTTTGTGCTTTTTCTCTTTGGCAGCTATATATCAAAGGCAAAACATTTGGAGAGGTTATTAAGGTGTTATTTTCTAAAGGAACCACTGGTAAGACTTCTGTTTTCCTCCCGAGGGTAGTGGCGATGCATTTTTATTTAAGCAGCAATTTCACCAGCATCGGTAGTTGCCGGCACCGTGGCTTGTACCCAAAAGCACAATTTTAGCCTGTCATGCTCCTCAGGATTGTACAGACACACCTGTAGGTTCTGGCTGTCCTGTAGTTGGCGTTTGCATTGTAGACCACTCTCTACTCCGGTACTTGTAAGTTGGTCAGAAAATTGGAGGGGTGTTTGCAACCATTAAGAGGCTCAGGAAAAAAAAAAAAGATTTACTAAGGAAAAACAGCCCTGATAATTTCTGACCTAAACTTGTACCACAGGTTTGTTTTTTCTAAATCTGGGCTTCCAGTAAACTGCAGCTGCAAGTAGTCATCTGTTAGCTAAAACTGGCCCCTGTATTTTTATTTTGTTCAGGGTTTTTTTAATTTACAACAGATAGACAGTGCTTTTTGTAGGTTAAAAGACAAGTCTCCCCATCAAAGGAAGCTCAGTATCAGTGGTTGCAAGTCTGTGACAATTCGTAGAGGATTTCATTGGTTTTCTTAGACCTTGTTTTTATTATTTTTTCACCTGAAGCTGGTTAGTGATGTAACATTTGCCAATGATCCAACCAAAAGGTCATGTATTTATTTTTGTTACACTATGTTCTTTGTAAATGTTTAATTAAAATGTGCACTTTTTAAAAACAAAACAAAACAAACCCCAGAGAACAACAGAAAAAAATTGAGATCAATTGGGTTTGCTTGAGAAGCTTCCTGGCATAATCGTGCTGCCTGCACACAATTCACTCCCCTCCCCACAGCAGTTGACTCCTTGGCTAATTTAACTTGCGGATCAGCACCTGGTGCCCAGCAGGCATTGCTTCAGAATGGCAGCAGACCCGAAGGGGCAGCACTGAAGGCTGGAAAGAATCAAGTGTGTGTGGTGTCTCAGAGCAGTATGCACAGGATGGATGTGAAATTCTTTTTAGAGTAGAACTAGTTCAGTGATCCCGTGTGGGAAAGGGAGGTTAATTTGGAAGAAAAGCTAAACTGTTTTTCAGCAACTTTATTCCCCTTTTCTTAATTTGAGATTTGTCTGCAGATTTCACAAGCTGCATTCCAAGAAAATAAATTGAAAGGCTTTCCAGTTCTGTGACACCAGGAAGTAAAGGTACATTGACAAAGTGTCACTCTGCTTTAAAAGAAAAGCAAAGCACACGCACCTTTCTTTTGCAGGAATGATGATAATTTAGCTGTAACCCTGAAATCTGTCACTGTGAACAGGCTTTAAAAAGCATACAGTACATTGATGGTTCTCTGTAGTCTGCCTGGAAACTCTTTTTCCTGAGCTGTGTAATTTGCTAGCTGTAAAAGACACTGATTTTGCAAAAGCCTGAATGTATCATGAAGCTCAGTTGGTCTGGAAGGAGCCAGACTAATGAAGAGAGGGTGCTGAAATCTACCTGCTGTGTGCTTGTGACAGATTCAGGTCTGTGGATGGATACAGCTTAAGTCTGTACATCTCTGGGGAAAAGGGACCAGATCCATTTGGTAAAGAGGGCTTGCATTTCAAGTGTTTTGCCTTGGAATGTGTTTTTTAAATATATTTAAGCTGTGGCCTGCAAAGAGATGTGCTTGGACTAGTTTGCGTGGCACATATTGAAGACAGTGACCTGTTTGCTCTCTGGCACTGCAGGTGCAGGTTTGTGACTTGCTGTGTGGTGAGTTCAGGGTTTGCTTTCCCCAGGGAAGGGCTGTCCTGGCATCTGTGTGCTGGCAGGGCAGGGGACAGGGGCAGGCTGTAATGACCCACAGTTGGTGCACTCCATAAGCTGAGCATTTACTGTGCTCACGACTTGGAAGCAGTTGGTTCACTCAACCTCGGCTGTGTATTTCTCTAAATTAGGGGATAGCTGAGTGAGAGCACGGGGAAGGAAGGTCTTGAGACAGTTATCTGAAAATGGCTGCTCTTAAGAACTAAGGATGTTCAGATGCTCTCCACAAGTTGTGTTTTAGCCAGGTGCCACTCCATTTTTTTGTGTGTGTGTAATTACATTTATTTATATTAAAACATTAATTTTAAAAAGTTCTAGAACTTCAAGTTTGAATGAGATTTGATACTGTGCTGCTTATATGGACTTCTTGGGATGGGGAACAGGGCAGGAAGAGGTGCTTGTTGGCAGCCAACCCCTCCATAGACTTGTTCGCAGATTGGTTTTTCACTTCAAAAACGAGTTTTTTTCTAATCTGGATTTATAATTTGAAATCGTTTTGGAACAGTGTTTTTCAGGGAAGCTTCCAGAGCGAGGGTTATTATTCTCCCTTTTAATGTAAGCTGGAAAGAGTAAGTTCACCTCATCTGCATTTCTGATTCTTTACCCAAACCATGTCAACACAGAACAGGGTATTTGAGCTTGACTCCCACATACTTGTGGAAGTTAAAAGACTAAATGAAAATCCATTATTGGGGGAAGACAAATTCTTTTTTACATCTCCCCAGAAACCTAGAAACATCCCTGTTGTGTTCTGGTTTTGTTTTTTTTTTACTTATTTTTTTGTGCTTTATCTGTGTTTAAAAAAATTGTACTGGGTTATAATGCATTTTATTAACACTATGTACATATTAGCTGCTTTGTGTTTCAGAATGGTAGTAATTGCTTTGTATATTAAAGTGATTCTTGTGAATTTGTGAATTATTGTCATAAAGAAGTGCTTTTTCTTACTGTAACCTTTGTGGTATAAACTGTCATAACTCCCTTTTTACACAAACATTTATGTGCAGTCACATAAACATGCTTTAAAAAAACTCTTACAAAGTCTCTTTTTTGAGCAGGGTGTTCTATTTACACTAACTTAGTAGCAAGTGGTAGCTAGATAGGGATGTGGTGTCCTTTCATGATCTGTGGCCTGTTCTAAGTATTCGTGAGCTGTTCTCCCCAGGGAGAAGATTTTTTTATTCTTGATTGAATTAGATGAGTGAGAGGTTAAGTCCTAAAAAACAAAGTTTCTCTTCCACTTCTGATATTTTTAAACCTGCTTTTAGGCATCCATTCTGGTGGCAGTTAGTTCTGTTGTTTAGTAATGTCTGAAAGACTTATGCCTTTCACAGTTAAAATATGCTGCATTTCTCACTTTTAAGCGTTCCTGTAAACCATGTACTACTGATGTTAAGAACAGAACAGAAACAGAAGGCAGCAAAGATTGCAAGGATCGCAACCCACTTATGTAATCTGCAAGGCTGGATCCAAACACTGGGATGAAAGCCAGGAGAACAAATTCAGCACTGAGGTAAACACACCTCCAGTGAAATCAAGGGGAAAGCGGTAAGGTCAGCTCATTACAGCTGGGATTTTGTGGTTTTCACAACTGAGTGTTTTCATAATGCCATTCACGTACTTGCTCAGAAAAATCTACACCTCAGTAATGAGGGAGAATCCCATACAGGGGTTAGTCCATGAGATAAAAATGCAGATTAGCTTGAATTTTGCACTGAAAACTCCGTAACACAGATCCCTGCACAGTCAGTTGTAGGTCAGCTGCTAAACCTGAGCCTTCTGACACTGCTGCAGCTCAGAGTTCCTGGTCAGTAAGATACAGAGCTGAATCTCATACCTGTCTGATACCTTAAGATTTGTATCTTAATCAAACATTATTTTAGTTGCAATGAAATTTTAGAAAAATTTGTTCCTTGCAAAATGGCATGTTTCAGGGATGGTTTCTCAGTCTCACAGCATGTTCATGTCTTACCTGGTCACTCTCCTGTGGCTTGAATCCACTCCCTAGAGTGAGTAAATTTCTCAAGAGACTTATTTGTATCTCACCCAGGGACCAATGCCCAAACACATCCTCCCTATAGATGAGCTCACATCATCTGCTACCAAACAGGACCAATGCAATGGAACCACCCAAAGGAGAGTGTGATTCTCGAGCACTGGGGTGAACAGGGTGACAGAATGCGCTTGGGCAGGGGGTTGGCATAGTTGCCAAACAGCCACCCAAGCATTACCATGCATCATCTGATATTAGAGCAGGAGCTCACCTGGTACCAGTGGGTTGGGACACCAGAATTTGCAGGTGTCACTGCAGAGGGCTGCTCTCTGTGCTCACTCCCCAGCTGTTACGGTTCTGCTACTTCTGCACCTCTGGCATGATTCAATCCCAGCCTGACTGACTCCTGACCTCTCCCTAAAGCTGAGTGTGATGGGAAATCAAAAGACCTGTGAAGTGCAACCTGGAACAACAGAAGGCACTGCTGGGTGCCTGGTACAGGTGAGTGTTAGCACTGCCCAGCCAGAATGGACATCAGGTTTCAGCCGAGTTACATTCTCACGGTTGGTGCCTCCCCCTAAACACTAGCTTTAAAAGCAGCCTCAACTGATATGCACCCTCAACTGATATGCACGTGGTGGTGGCCTAAATGCAGTATTCCTGGATCTGGTCTCCTAAATTTAATGGAGCACCTGCACCCCAGTAGCAGAGGAGAAGGTGTCCCCTTGAAGAGGGTGCCACTTGCTGGGCTGGGAAGGGGCCACTGAGAGCTCAGCTCTGCAGGTCAGGGGCAAGGCACTCACCTGAGCTGCCAGTGTCATCTCATGCTTTTCTCCCCAAGTGTTCATTTATGGGCAGCAGCATTGCTTCAGCCTTCAAACATACTCCCTTGGGTTTGCATACAGCTGCTGTGTAACAGCAGCACAGCAAAAGAAGCCAAACCTGGTCTCTACATGCCTGCTCTGGCAAGAAGGCTGTGGGTAAGAGGAGCCACGGAAGCAAAAGGAAATCTGACACTGAAAGCTTAACTGAACAATCAGAAAGAGATGGAATTAAACTGATTTGTTTTAAAAGTACAAAACTAATCCTATTGTCAAAGAAAGGCCTAGGCCAAAGCCCCCTTCTTAAAAGCGTGTAGGTTGCTGCACTAGGCTTTATTCTGCGCTATTTAATCAGTCTTTTTAGCATGTCCCTACTATGGCAACAGGACAAGCTGTTACAGCTGTCACTACTGCAAGCTGCAACCTCTTGTGAGGGCCAACCACTGCCACGTTCCCCACAGACCATGTCCTGGGCACTCACAAGCCCAAGCACCAACACACTGCTTTCTGGCAGCTCCAGCCCAGGGGGAGCCTACTGTACAGACAAGCCTAATGCCTAATCAGAGACGAGCTTAGAGACAAGGAAACACCAGTGGGGAGGAAAAGGAAGAGGAGTGGCAAGAATTTAGAGCCACACTCCAAAAACTAGAGCCAGAGAGAGTGGGGAGAGCTCCTAATTCTTTTCAACCATTGCTCACCCAGCTCATAGGACAAAAAAAGCCACACCTGGCACATAAAACTCGTATCGTGTTCTGTTTTCAGTCAAGGGTGCTGTCTCCCTTCCCTCAGACTTCAACTCTAGTTTCAGGCTGCAAATTCCCAGCCAGCTGTGTAAGTACTGTTTTAGTGACACCATGTGGCTTCTGAGGATACTGTTGTGTTTCAAAAAAGCAACTCTGAGGCCAAGTCCAGAGCCAAGCAAGGAACTTCGCTGAAAACATGCCAGAGATGTGCCAGGGATGAGGCACAAACCTTCGGGCCTCATTCATCACAGCGGTGATGACAGATGTGTCATTTACAGATTACAGCACCTCTGGACCACCGACCCTCTGCATCTTTTGCAGTTAGGAAGTATGATGGAAGCAGAAGTGATAGAAAGCTCCAAAATGTCTGTAGCCCAAAGCAGCTGCTGGTGTTTGCTTTTGCCAGTGCCAAAGACAAGCATATGCTTAAAGCCTGAACCTGACCTGAGACTTTGTGAGTTTAAGTTTAAAGCAAAAGTTCCACATCCACCAGAAAAAAAAAAAAAAAAAAAGTAGTAAAGCAATTCCTGCATTTAGAAGTGTAGCTGTCTTCTGTTAGCCCATTGTTTTCATCAGTTTCATTCTTCTACCACTAGAAAGAGAAGGAAGTCTGCTGCTGGTGCAAGCAGGATTACAGGCTGCAGCATTTTCACATAGAATCTTATGGCATAAACACACAAACATGTTTTACAAGCTCAAGGTATGAAATCAGTTACTTAGAACAGCGTCTAACAACCACTGTGCACTGAAAGCACACTGAAATCTAGACACTGCCCCAAGGTCCCGAGTAATACAAGAATAACTATTTCCCCTGCTACAAAGACTTTACAGCAGCACCCTCCTCTCCTAAATAACAACTCTCAGAGACAGAGGGGGCACAAACGAATGTAGAAAGTAGATTACTTAGCAGTACTTTGAGAGTCAAGGACTGATTTGATATTTAAAGAACAGTTTGAATCTGCATGTTTCACTTTCATGTGCATGTGTATCTTCTCCAAGGAGCCTTTATCTGTGTGGGGGAGACTTGCTAAGGACAACCCGTGAACCACAACCGCTTTGGTACTGCAGGCATAGCCCCCACGTCTGCAAGTCAGGTAAAAATATCACTGATTTCTAAGTTGGCTTACTTGGCAATCTTGATTCTCAGCCCCCTGATCCAGATTTTGTTCTTTGTTTCCCTATTCTTCAATTCAGCAGTGATAGTAATAGAACAACTTTATAGCAGCTGCCTTTGTTTCTTTTAGCCCTTTAAGTGGCTTCTTTTACCACCGCTTTTAAGATGCAAAGGCCTGAAGAGTTAAAGCATTTAGAGCTGGAGGATTAGCTTCTATTTCATCCACTTTTCAGAGTTAAAGAAGTGATAAGAGGAAAAAACCCCACTGTAACACACATGTTTCCCACAGGAACTAAGTGTGGTTTGATTTTAAACAACAGATAATAATAATTTGATAATAATTTTGATGCCTGGAGATTTCTGCAGCTTAAATCAGTTTCAAAAATTACATTTGATAAAAAGTCAGTGGAAGACCCTACACAACTGTATTCCAAAATGAAGCAGAGGTTCAATATGCAGAACAGAAGTGCAGCCCTTGCTGTGTCAGACCAATTTATCAGACAAGACCATCAGAACAAGAAGACAGTGAAATAACACAACTGCAACTTTATGCTTAGGAATGAGTGTATTGAGTAGAAACAAAGGGGAGAACTGAACAGCAGCAGTGGTTTATTAACAAGGTGTAGAGTCAAAAGTCATCCCTGCGACTACTCCTCTGTGCTTTGTAGATATGAACATCCTTACTGGAATCATAGTGGACCTCATATACGGAGAAACGGTCTCTCAGCATCTTCAAGAACTTGTGATCCCGTTCATAGCGGATACGACAGGCAAGAAGAATCACAGTTTGCTCTGAGCACAGGTGCTCCAGCGTCTGAAGCAGCTCTGCAAAAGTTTCTTCCAGATAAACGATGTCTGCACCCAGGACGAAGTCAAATGCTCCTGGAGGGAAGTTATCCAGGTCTTTTCCCCAAGTCAGCTCCTTCACCACAGCTCTTGGACGTAGTTCAGAGGGTAAATTAGCCTGTACGTTTGACTCCAGGAATTCCAGTGCTGCCTCCCTGTCTGTCATAGTAACACGAGCACCTAAGCAGTACAGGAGTACATGGCTCAAACAGTCAGTCCATAAATACAGCATGCGGAATACAATGCTTTAAGTCGAGCAGGCTCCTTGTTAAACGTTAACAATTTCCCTGAACTGCCTGATTAAAAACAAACAAACAAAAGAACAAAACACGCAAAACCCCCACTATCTACATACATCCTACCCTTCATCAGTCACTTAAGAATATACAGTGCAGATTAAGTTGGGTAGGGAACAGAAAGTGTTTTCTAGTGCTATTTCTTAGTGCATGAAAGTCACGGAGTTACCTTCTGTCTTTCCATAGGCAACAAAAGAATGAATTAGAGGGGTTGTTACCATTAACCTGCTTCAACCCCATATTTTTCAGTAGGAGACAGGCAGCTAGAGAGCCTCTTTCACAGGTCAGACAAAGTTATGCCTGTGTGATTTTGCATGGCATGACTGTATTTTGTCAAAGGCTCTGTTTTTATTATTTCAGTAGGCACCTTGCACAGCCACTAGAGTTTTGAATTACAAAGTTAACCTGGGACAGGTAGCACTAATTTAACATAATACCCAGTCCCTACTTCAGCCACAGACAGATCACCGGCAAATCACTTCATTTCTCCAGACCCTGGCTTGCCTGTCTGCAAGACAGGCTAACACAGCTTACGCAAGCTCAGAGCCGTTTGTCTGTAGCTTTATCTGCATACGAGGACATGTGGAAGACGGGAAGCTCAGCACTTGTTCCCCGGGGGAGAATAGCTGCAGAGCTGACTGCTGCTGAGCTTCCTGCCATGGTAACAGGCGTCAGCCTTAACAGGGTCCCGCCATAAAGTAAACTGCAGTGGCACCATCACTACAACAAATATCGCAGCAGGCTCTCAAGTCTAACGAGAAAGGAAGATGACTCAGAGAGGAACCATCACAGTTCACATATGCAGCTTTGGTGCTCACACTATACCAGATGTAAAAGCACTAGTTTTACTACAGTTGTAAAGTGTTTTAAATGAGCAAACAAAAAAGCCCTTACCTAATAACGTGGCCACTATTCCCAACAATCCAGTCCCAGCTCCCAGCTCAATCACAGACCGATCCCTGAGATCAATGCCTTCCATCTCCAGATAAGCACACAGGACAACAGCCTAAGCCAAGAGACAAAGACAATTTAGCACAGGGCTCATTTCAGTCATACCAAACACAGGGTTTCTGGCTTAACCCAAGAGAAGGTTATGGGAAGAGTCAGGCACTTCAGGTCTGCAGCAAGATTTCCTTCAACCCTTCTCTGCCTCCTGTGTGCACATGTGGTCTTTTTATGAGTTTTATGGAAGGCTCTTGCTGGCAGAAAGAAAAAAGAACTATAGAGGTTACAACTCAGATGTGGTAAGTGCTTCATGAATCCCCAAACATAACAGGAGGTAGAAGGAGTTGCATTTGGAAAAGAAAAGCTGAAGTGGTGTCAAACATTAGTGAATGAACACAGTATTGCAAAAGACAAGAATAAGGCTTCATAATCTCTTACATAGTATTTCAAAAGGTTTCTGCACAACACTGGCATGCCATCAGGAAGGACAATAGGGAATGTAAAGAAATAACTCTTCTATCTGGTTATATCTAATGTATTGTATTTTACATCAATCTTGACAAGGAGCTCTCTCCAGAGCAAGTTCTGTCAAAGCTGATGTCCGGAAAGACCAACAGTCCTGTACACCAATTCATTGGAGGATTTTGCTAAAACTGCTATGCTTGTTCTTTTAAACTAGAGGTAAAAGAGCAATTTGTGTGTGGACCTGAGACCTGTCTGACGGGAAGCCCTTGAATTTCTACAGTGGTGCTGTGAGCGACTGCCCTGCAGCCTTGGGCCTGCCACAAACCCCTCTGTTTTGGACTGTTCCTATCCCCAAGATAAAGTCTATCAGCAGTCCTTCTGGAGGCTACAAGCAGCGATCCATGCTGTGCTCTGAAGGGTGCCAAGCAAACATCACCAGTCATTGTTAAGAAATGGGTGAGAGTTCTGAGTTATCCGGGATATTTCCTGTATTTGGCAGTGGCCGTGCAAGATTTAGGTGGCCCATTTCCCTTGAAGTCCTTCAGGATCTCTTATGAGGGAAAAAAAAAAAAAAGGTAAAGCAGAGTTTAATATTTTCTTTCCGGAGGAAGGAAAAAAAAAAAAAAAGAAAAGAAAAGAGAAAAGAAAAAGGAAAAAAGCCTTCCCTTTACATTTTAACGTTAAATAATTTTATAAGGTGATCCTGAAAGCTCGGCAAGCGCCCCAGGCAGCCACAGAGCGCAGGAAAGCTCCGCTCGGCGTGAACACCTACCGCGTCCCAGACCACGGCCGCCACCCCCAGCCGCCGCCAGTCCTGCTGCAGGCGGATGGTGCGGCTGGCGAAGTGGAAGGTGGCCGAAGGGCTGTGCAGTTGCCGCGCTCCCCAGCCGGCTCCCTCCTCGTAGGGCACCAGGGCCATCCCGCCGCCGGCGACTGCAGGCCCCGGCTGGCCGCGGCCTCGGCCACCGGCCGGGCCCTGCCCGAGCCCCGCGCTCCCCGAGCCGCGGGCAGGGGGTGGCCCGGGGCCGCCACCGGCAGAACCCCGGCCCCTCGCCTGGGCCCGGCCCCTCGCCTGGGCCCGGCCCGCTCCTCCCGCGCCGCAGCCCCGGCGCTGCCGCAGAGCGCCCGGCCCGGCCCCCAGCGCCGCAGCCCGGGGCGGGCGCGGCCTCCTTGCACCGCCCGGACGGGAACGGCGGCGCCGAGCGGCCGAGGCGGGGGGCGATCACAGCCCGGGCACAGCGGGCCGCGCTGGGCTGGGCAGAGCGCTCCTGCCCCTCAGTCGCGACGGGAGCGGGCCGGGGGACAGGAAAGAAGGCGACCCGGGTTGGTGCGGGGCTGTGCCCGTGGCCGGCGCTGGCGAGAAGCCGCGCGGTGCCTCCTGCGGGAGGCTGGGCCCGGAGGGGCTCCCGCGGACCTACTGCCACACCACAAGGTACGGGGGGAAAAGGTCCCACGCCCTGTGGGACATTGCCAATGTCCCCGCAGCCTCCCTGCGGTGCCAGCCTCTGGCTTTTGTTTGGGGAGTCTTTGGAAGGCAGTGCAAAGGAAGGCGTTTGTCCAGCCCACCGGCCTCGTCCTCCATTGCTGGCACGGAGAGCATTATCTCTGCAAGTGCTCATCACCAGCCTGGAAGCGCTCCCTGGGACTAGGTAACCATGGCAAAAACAGAGCAGTTCTTCTGCATCTCAGTGGAGCACTGACCAAGGCAGCACAGGCAAAGCTGCTCTGGGCTGGCGGTGAGGTGGTAATGCTCCTGTGGCGCTGTTTGTGCATGGGCTTCTCTTCACCTTTGGCTCCATTTAATCTCTTGTTTGGCAAAACAACACAGTGCTCCTCTCCTTTGTTACTTGAACTAGCTCCAAAGACTGCTAAAAGCCATGGGAGAGCCAGGGAAGTGTCCTGGCAGCCCTTGCGCTCTGGCTGCCCGGAGGCCGTGCTGCAGGTACTCCACAGAAAGGCTCGGTGCCTCTAGCTGTGCTCCTCAGCCCCTGGGAGCAGGGCAGGGGAGCAGCACACCTTCTCTGCACCCATCTCCAGAGGCTCTGTGGCACCGTGGTATATCCCAGTCACACCACCAATGGGGCAAGGCCAGCCCTTCGAAGCTGGGGAGCTTAACAAGCTCCAGAAAACATCCCCACTCTTTCCCACGGGGAGCAGCAAATCTGACTGGCAGACAAAAGCAAATGTGGTTACATCTAAATACTGGCAATTTCAACAGAGTGGGACAGGATTCATGAAAATCTTTTTCGAGAATCATTACAGGCTGCACAGGGGTAACAGGAAATAAAGCTTGTCTTTAGGGTTCTGCTACTGTAGGAGAATGGAAACCAAAATTTCACTTGCCCCAAACCAGTTCATACTTGAATTATGGCAACTCAGACTTCTCCTCATAAACATGCCAGAACGAGTGTGATGATTCAGCTTACTGTGGTTTTATGTCCTAAAGTACTGGTCCCTTGCCACTACTGCTTTTGAGTTTGAAATTGCTTGTGCTATTATCTCGATTATTTTTTTAATTATTTATATAGGCAGTGTGGGAAAAGCAATGAGAGTGATTACACTTGAAATGAGAACTCTGAATGAGTTTTTGAGTCACACTGTGCCTAAACTACACCATCAGGCAAATAGAGGAAAACTCCCAAATGGCACAAAGCTTTGGCCTCTACCTCCAGAACCATGTCAGCCTTGGGATCTCCAACCAAAATATGGAGGAGTGTGGCAGGGCTCCAGTGCTCCCAACTGCCTCCTTTTTGCCTCAGAAGATCGGTTTTCTTCCCCTGCAGTCATAAGACCAAGGGTCTGGCTGAAGAGCAACTGGAGTGAAAAAAATGCTGTATGTGAAAATTTATACATTTGTTCTCAAAGCTGACAATGCAGCAAGTGCTTTTATCCTAATAATGTGGGTTTGTTAGGATGCCCTGAATATCTTTGGAGCCCAGCAGATTCTCTACTGATCCTGCCCTGCTTCCAGAAGTATTTCCCCTTCTTCCCTGATAAAGTTGCTTTGGCACTGACTTCCATGAACCTTAGACCGGAGATCAGAAATTACTTTCCAGATCATAACTGGATAGTGAAGCTTTAAAAGAGAACCAAGTCCACTAGAATTTCAGTCTGGGCCCTGATTCCCCATATTCATTCTAAGCCTACATCTACCTGCTCTTCCCTTTTCTGTATCCATTTTCTAAGAAGATGCAGCAGCTGGGTATTACAGTGGCAGAGAAAGACACTTGGTTTCTTCTACCTTTCCTGACAATAGAAGGATAAGAAAAACTCAACAACACAGAATTATGGCTAAAACAGATCTGCAGAACTGAAATGCTTTTTCTCCTAGCAGGGCTAAAGCTCAGCACAACAGTAAAATTGCAAGAGCATAGCCTGGTTCAGCTTTTAAGCACTGCAGAGGGCTATAAGGATACCTAAACTGCACATAATCTTGCCAAGTAGGAACCAGCTGACTTCAAGGTAAGCAAGAATGAGTTAAAGTTTAAAGAAACACTGATTCAAGTCCATTCTTACCTAATTCAACTACTTGATAGAGCAGGCATAACGTAGCCAACTATAAGTAAATCCTGCCACCTCAGATTCGAGTAAGCTGCCCAGGGTAATTAAGACAAAGTGTTTAAGAGCGATGGTCCTTGTAATACTTAGAAGATCAAAGAATCAAGTAGATAAGATAGAAATGAGTACAAATTATTTTGAATCTTTACTAATATAACTCCCTTTCTGAAATCTTCTCTTTGCTGCTTAATATGTAAAATCCTCTCTTAGAAATAAATGAATGTGACAGTTCTTGTGATAGTTCTGCAGACGCTGGATGTAGCGCATGGCTGCGCATGGATTTTGGAGACATCCATGGTGGGAAAATACTGCATCTCTCATGCAGTCTCCGGTTACCAAGGCAAACGCAGGTATAAATAGAAACAATCTGGGGTTTTTTTTTAAACTCTATCTAGAAACCTGTGTTGTTGATAACCCTCTAACAGCAACGCCTTATTCCAAATGGTTCTGTTCCACATTTGTGTGGAAACTTCTGGCCATACACATTTAATCCTTTCCTCCCTAAATAAATGGCAGCTGCTTCTGGTTGTCATTCCACTCAGATATAAAAATTTTCTTTGAAGTAAAGTTTGTACAAATATCTGTTTTGCTAAAAGCTTTCATCAACCAAATGAACAAGAGCTAACACAAAGCTTGGAGGAAAACCCAGAAAAGAAAGAGGTCTTTCTCCCTAAGTATCACCATTAAGTGGCCGTTCAAATGACTAGCACTGAAATGATTTAACAGTTTTTACATTTTCATCTTCACCAGTAGCTTCCAGATTCTCCACACCCATGAGATAGATGGGGTGGTGAATAACTTGCTGTTAAATACAAGGGGAATAAGCAGAGATTAATTTGGCTGATGACAGCTTGTAGTTGCAGAATAAAGACAGCCTCATCTTGAACTGATTTGGATCATCTTTGAAACCAATGGAGTGAATTAAAAATAAAAATTTAAGTTTCTGCAGAAACTGATGGGTTATCAGTAGACCTTACAACTTGCTGCTTCAGCAAGATCCTTGCAATAAATGTTAAATATTGAAATAAATGTATGATTTGGTTTAGCGTGTCATCTCTGTTACACAGAGAGTTACATTAAACAATGGAAGTAATGATCAAAAGTATAAAGATGTATAATTTCATAAGTGCTTGAGCTGAAATACAGGAAGTTTCTGCAACCTCTGAAGAGGGAATTATTCCCATCAGTAACATTACATTCACTCCTTCAACCTTGCATCTTGATAAAGTGTCGTATATAATCATCACGTTTATTAAAATGTCTTCTTACAGAAAGATCGCTTAGCTTTTAGTGGAATTATGTGACTGAGCTCTCAAAGGCCTTGCAGGTCTGAAAACTGACATTATTCTGTATTTTTAGTTAAGGGACAAAAAGCAAAATGAGTAAGTTGTTCTTCACAAGCAACCACTGCATTCTCAGCTGCACTTCATTTGCTGGAAACCTCCTCCACTTATCACTGCGCTTTCAGATGTCCACAGACCTACAGCCTTACCGACATCTCCAGTTGCTGGACTTCCAGGCCTTGAGATGCCATATGTTGGGTCTTGTGACAGAAGGGTTCATAATCCACTGGAGCAAGGCTGACCCGTGAGCAGACATGGGTGCACACAGGGAAGGGCTGCTCCAGCAGACATGGATGCACACCTGGAAGGGCTGCTCCAGCAGTGCTCCCGTGAGCACAGGGCTGTGGTAGGGAAGCAGCTAGGTGGGGCTGTGATTGCCCTTCTTTCCCAGCAGCTTCTGTACCCATTTCAGCTGGCTGATGGTTGTAGGCCAGAGTAACATGTGTCTGGTGTGTGGGATACTGGAAAAATGCTGCAACACCTCCCTTTTTATGGGGTCTGCATATGGATCTAGAGGCTTAACATTAGGTGGCCAAATTTATGATGTGTTGTATAGGTGCAGTGTTAGGTAACTGGAGAGGAAATTACAGTGCAAGTAATGCACTGTATTAATTTAGGACTAGTTAACAGCAACTAATTTAAAACAATTATAAGGACAAGCAGACATCAGCTATAGCATTTATATGGATGCAAAGACATCTGCCTCAGTGCAGAGGTTACCCTTTTAAAAGCAGGAAGAATCCAAGTTTATGAAAGACGGGGTGGGGAGTGTTAGCGTTATTTGTAATGGTATTGTCAGTGTTTCTTGTCTCAAGTTCTTAGAAAGAAAATCCTTCAGACAATGGAGAAGATGGAAGAGTCAACTCTAAGCAATTCCAGGTACCTTAAAGCTAACAGTAAGGGCCCCTCAGCGCTGCTTTCCGGCCTTTGGTGGCCCAGGGTTGGAATTAACGTGCAGAAGTTTACCCTAAACAAACTTGCTGCAGGGCTTACACATGCACGGTTACACATGCACTTTTCTGAATAAAGTCACCATTCATGTTAATGTTTGTGTT